CTGTTTTAGAGATCCAAGAGATAGATGTTCTCAAAAAAAAAGAAATTTTAAACGAATGTTGTGTTTCTCGTGATCTGCTATGGCGTGAAAAGTGCACATTCACAGAGAGCTTTCGATCCGAGCGGCCCATCAAAACTTGTATTTTGTTGGTCGATTAAAAGTAGGGAACTGTACTTGCGCGAAGGTACTTATCGGGTTATTTTATCGTCAGTTCCTCATCAGCACGCCTCGTTTTGTTCGTTCCATCCTCTATGCCCACCGGTCCTTCTAATATTGAAATTTTTCAACTTTTTGTTGCCCGTTCTTAGCGCTCAAGCACATCGGTAAATTATCATTCATTAGGTTTTTAATATTGCTTTCTAACTACGGGCTTGCCGTTAGAGCGCGATGTCGGGGATCATAGGCAACCCCTCCCCATAGCAACCTTGCTGAAGTACTTCGGCGCCTCACCATTTCATAGAAAAAGTGAAGGAAGGACCCTTTCTTTTATAATGAAAAACATTAAGTCATACGATTTGGACGATTTTTGAGTTAATTTGACCCAGTCCTTCATTCGCAGGTTAAAAAAACTAAACGCGAAGGCAAAAAAATAAAACTCCGAATAGATATTGATACTATGCAGTGATGTAACTTACTGGAGTCAGGATCGCATTTCTCGTGGACCTAAAAATTTGGTTTTGCTTCATGTCTCCAGAGATGTTGGCTGTGTTTGTCGAGCTATGATTGTGCTATATTGCGATTATCAGTTTATCAGCTGCAGCTAAAGTTCGTTGTTGATTGGGGAAAACACTATATATCACAGCACTTTGCTGATAACGCTGGCTGTATTGACAGCAGGCAGATGTCGTCTGTCAGTGATTACGCCTGTCACTCAGTTGTGAACTCTAAATACACGTGTACTTAGGGAAGACAACAAATGCAAAAACTTGTCTAGCACGAGAGAAAGCGACCTGCGTGTGGTCGCACCGTAGTTTTCTAATCTGTTTAGCTGTACGGAGAGGGGGGCCACGTTGGCAGACCAGTCGATTATGCTGATTTTGACATTAGTTGATTTAAAAATGCGTGTTGAGCAAAGCGTCACTGGGCGTTTGCTGTGTGCGATTGAGCGGTGGTGCCTCGTTGGGATATGGAATATGGGGATATTCGTAAGCTTATACTTTGTATTTTAGCCGTTATATCTCTTTTCATCGTTAGTGCAGCTGATGGTTTCTCCATTTTGTTCTGTTTTCGAGCCCAATAATTTTGAAATAGCGCTTCAAGCGAGTCCTACACTGGCCCCCTTCAGAGTGCTTGTTCGATATTGCCTTGGTACCAGTCAGTGGTTATTTTTGTCCATCTGTTGCCCCGTTTTTTCCTCTTCTTATACATTTTGTGCTGTGCAACAGCTACACAAAACT